TTTTCCAAAAAGGAATATGAAAAGTTGTTGCCCTTAGAACACAGGGTGTCACACACACACACACACACCCACCCACCCACACACACACACACACACACACACACACACACACACACACACGCCCGCGCGCGCACACACACACACACACACACACACTTTTTTTTGGAACTTTTGTCTTGGATTTCGATATGTTGGAAGCCGGCTGAGGCAGGCAAGTCCCTCGCCGCGGCCTCGCCCGAGAATCACGTTGAGCTGTTGATTGATGCCTGATTATCATGATTACAGGAGCCTTGAGTGTGCGGCGTCATGGCCTCGGTGTGGGCATGCCGAAAACTTTGGTTGCATGCTTGTGCGAAACCATGATCGCTTCCCTACCCTTGTATTGCTACGCACTGCATTCCGACTTCACCGATAATGCGCGCACTACAATCTCAAATTATGCAAGTTTTTGCAAAACAGTCCTGTATCACACCACATTACGTTTCCCCTTCTCATGCGGATGTTCGGATGACCTAATGCAAATACAAAAAAGCATCCAAACAAGCCGAAGCGGTCCTCGAAGCTTCTACCTTTGGCATACAGGAGGGGTCCCCCAACATAGCCGTTACCTGCAGTGGTCTCGCCATGTCTCGCTGCGATTCAAGGTCACTCACCCACACATCTCAATCAGCATTTGCAACTGTGCGATGAGTGCAAGTAACGAAAAGCCAGCAATGCAATGCGTCGTTTTCACTTTCCGATCTCAAAGCTCTTTTGCAAATCTTTACTGGTCAATGGTTTTAGAAAAAAGCTCTTACCTAAGTTTGGCTAGCCCCTCTGGGGCTACCATGAGCCAAAGACCACAAATTTAGCAAATCGCAGTGACAACACGCACACTGCAACTCTCAATGCAAGCGCATTGAAAGCAGTGAGAACATCTCTTCTACAGAGGCTTCTCATGATTCGGAGCATTGTGGAGCCAATAGGTACTCATGTGTCGCTAGGCCCGTAATGTGTAGCCAGCTTGAGCTTTTTGCTTAGGTTTTTCCTCATACGCCTTCTGGATGTCACCTTGAGCCTATAGTTGATCAAGGCTTGGCATTGAAAGAAACCGAACTGAAGCCGTGTGACTTTCAATAAGCTGATCCACGTTGTCCAGGAGACCCAGCCTCCAAGGCGACTGCTGCAGGGAAGACTTCGGACGACAGGAATGTTGCTTGAATCAAAGCACGCGCTTTCGAATGAAGACTCAAAGTTCAAGTGGCTTGGAGGGCTTGGGCTACGGGTTTTGCCGCCTAAGCAGGGCGCGGTAGGCGCCAACGGCGGTAGACATACCAGAGTTGCCACCGGAGCCGATTGACAAGCTCACTTTGACCTTGGTCAGTGCAACTTACTGCTCTCACAACTTGGACAAGCAAGATCCCCTTAAGCTGACTTTGCTGGGTGCTTGGTCTCAGCCCGCGATTAGAAACAAGCATTCTTGAATACTTCCTGCTGGATTGCAAGGCACTGAAAACACCGGCAACGCATGCTGTTGCAGGGAGTTCTTGCGAAACTTGCCCGCGGAGAATGAAAATAGAACT